GGCTCGCACTACTTTTTCATGTTTCTTTGTATTTCCCTTCGCAGCTAACACTGGGCCTTGTATGATTCATCATTTATCACCAGGACTTTTTATTTTCTAGTCCCCTTAGTATTGAGGAAAACTAACATTTAACCAAATACCTGCAGGTGCCAAGCTGGGAACCTGATCCTGATATTCTCCACCAGGACAGTGGTGTCGTCCCGATTTCGTAGAGGCCCAGGGAGATTAGAATCTTCATTCATTTCAAAGAGTCAGGAAGTTTCAGAGCCTCGTTCTGCCTTCAAGTAGGCGTCATTTTAAAGGAAATGCTGTCTCTTCTTCAAGTCCTCTTTCTGTCCCTTATCCTTCTGGGGTCCCAGCAGGCTTCCCCCAAAGCTAGAGGAATCCACATGCTCTTTTCCAGCCACGTATGTCTCTTACAATGATTTCTTCTGGATCCCAGAACTTCGACCAGAGGGCCCATGAATGGATGGACGATGTCCTGGCAAACGACGTCTCTGTTTTCCTTTATTTGCATGTTGGCATCCACACGGAATTACCCAACACTACCCTAAACTAGTGGGGAGGGCACTCAGCAAAGCAGGGCACCCATGCAGGGGCACCAGAGTTTTTCCTTTGAAAGACTGTTACATTTGTTTAAAGCGATCATTGGAAACAGCCACTGTGATGAAGGACTGAACTCTTCTGGGCTTCTTACACACATAATTTAATAATGAGTCAGTCTGGCTTTTCGTTTGAATGACATGTGGAGCAGGGCCGCTAACGTCTTCACAGGGTCTGGCTGGCATTCTTATTCTAGGCTGTTTATAAGGTAAATGAGATCTATTTTCAGGCCCTTGACTGAGCCCCATCTCTTCTGCTTCAACACACCTGCGTCGTTCTGTCCACGTGTGGGTGTGTTGATCGGCGGTGAGTCCGACCTATTCACTCTTAGACTGTAAGCACTTTCTGGGCAGAAAGTTACACAGCCTTACAGAAGTTAAACACCTGGCATGTTGCTAGACCGTCTTTTGGAGCATAGTGGATTCTTATTGATTTCTCAGCTCGCACCAGTTGGCTGTTTTCCATTTTATCTACACATTGGCAGATACGTATTTTCCCAGCCAGATGGCTAAGTGTGGAGAGATTGGTGATGTGTAGTTCTGCAGTGGTTCTTTGACCCAAGTCTTTTAGCAAGGACTTTCATTGTCGACTGTAATTTTTGGGGGCGACTTTATCTACCTTTACAAAGTGGGAAGATCATGAACAGCATTTAGTAGGCAGAGTCCATCCAGAGGAGAAGGAAGTCCACTTCACACCCTTTGACAAGTCTCGAGTTACCGTCTGAGGCTATAAATAACGACTGTAGACATGAATTGCAGAGACGGATTCTTCATGGATAATTTTCCAAGCAGTGAGGTGTTTTCTTTCCTCTTCTCTGTTCCCCTTTCAAGTGGTGGTGGCTCTTCATAATATGTAGAAAAACAAGAAATGGATTCTGAGAATACATCTTTTTCTCTCCTCGGTCACCAGTTCAATTTCTTTTACTTATTTTGAAATCTGGGTGTTTCTACAGCAGTTTTATGATGCAGCGATTCAAAGAGAGCTTTGGCGCGTATGAGTAAACCAACTTTCAGGTTTTCCTTGTTTATTTATTTGTTTGTTTTTGTTTTTTGTTTTTTCCTGAGTGGGATATTACTGCATTTCACCTATTTCTGCATTTCCCAAATTTTGATTTTTTTTGTATTTAGTCCTTAATAATTTTGCCTGTAAATACCTTAAGAGATGCTTACATTTGGAAAATGTAGACATTGTCTGTTACTCATTCTTTTGAAGCAAGTGACATTTGCTGGCAGTTTATACTATCTCTTTCCTCATACATTTGCCCAACTTGCAGTGACTAAAGCATGGGCAATAAACCCAAATATCAGTATTTTTTTTCCACTTAGAAGTTTTCCAGGTTTTTCTTTCACACTAGTCTCTGATCTTTAAAAATGCCTCTCTTACACACTGAGCTAGGACTCACTTTATGCTCCAAGCAGAGCTGTCACTTCTTCTCTCCCCTCTGTAAGTGGGCAGGGCAGCCCCGGAGAGGGAAGTGTGAGCCCTCTCCTCATGTGCGTGTATGTATTCATAAATCTCCATGTCTACTCCACGGGGTAAACGTCACAGAAACTTTATTGCATATGTTTCATTTAAAAACACCTTAGAAAAGGAGAGAGAAGACTGGGAGGGACAGAGAAATAGTTGGATCTGAGAAACTTGAAAAAGGAAGGGAGCGAGCATTTGTGTAGCTCCCACTGCAGGTGAAGCATTAATTCTGCACACCCCTTACCTTCAGCCCTTCAGCTTATCCTGTGGAATCCCCACAACAAGCCTGCGAGGTGGATATTATGTTTTTTAGAAACATCTAGAAAAATGGAGACACAGAAAGTAAGCAGTTCAGCTGGTGGGACTGAGATGGAGTGCACTGAAGTGGCTTTGTCCTCATGTTTGCATCTGGTTCTCCTTGCTGAGGGCACAGCCTTCATGACCAGTGTATTCCGTGTCCATCTGAACTAGATTCTGCTTCGAAGTGTTTGTTCCTAGCAGCATAATTTGCATACCTAGAAAGGGACCATGAATGTGAACTTGGCTTCATGCTCTTTTAGAAAGTCAATTTCTCTTTTTTAAATCATTACCTTCAGAGCAGATCTCAAAATATTACAAAACCAAAGTATCCAACTTTCATTTCTTTTCAGTTACAATCATTGGGGTTTTGATTTTTTTTTTTTTTGAGGCATGGTAGTGATAGTGGCCACGAGGAATTCAGAATTAATAACACGTGCCTGTCTCCCCACATGGCCATAGGCCATCCAGTTTGCCTTTGTTCTTCTAGGCTCCAGGAGGTGTGAGGGTATCAGAGGACACAGCCTATTCTGGCTTTGAATCCTCGGCCATTGACTTTGGAACCTGCCCCACTGAATGATGGCCCTGTAGTCCGCCAGGTGACCCAGGTACTTCAGATCTCAGTTATAACTGTTTCAAGTCCAGAGCCACAAAGTTCTCCAAGCCTACATTTCTTGGGGAGGAAATACATTCAATGGAGTTTGCTTTCTTTATTTCATAAATCAGAGATTAGAAAACCACATATTTTAGCCTCCTTTTCTGAAGACTTGTACCACAATGAGTTTTTTTTTTATAATATGGTTTTTAAATTAATTAATTTTATTTCATTTTGCGGGGAGGGGGAGGTAGGTAATTAGATTTATTTATTCATTTATTTTAGAGGAGGTACTGAGGATTGAACCCGGGATCTTGTGCTTGCTAAGCATGTGCTTTACTGCTTGAGCTCCCCCTACAATGAGTTTTAAATGGCCCCCTTTTCATATTTGACCACATTTCCAAGCAAAGGCTATAAAATATATATTGTAAGTTTGTTCAGTTATTGATATTAAGAGTCAAGCGTAAGGTCTGCCTGCTGAGTTCTGTTCTGGAGTGAGATACACACATTGTTTGTGCTTCGTAGTGTAGACTTACCTGGAAGCAGAATTGGAACACGGAAGAGTATTGTAATATCATTTGCCGTGTGGTATCAAAACATGTTCTAATCAGGCCTTTATTTGCAACTGTCATCTGCAAAAGGAGTCATAATTTCATTTAGGGAGAAGAGTGGCATTATAATAAGGGCTTCTTTTTCTCTGGGGGTGTTCTCAGTGATCTGAGTCAGACGCCCCAAGTTGGCTTTAAAGGTTGACCCCCAGAGAAAGGGCCTTCTTTTAAATGATTGATGAGATCACATTCAAAGAGACTCGTGGTATGACTTCTTTTGACCGGAGCAGGGTGCCACATGTTGGCTGAGTTCCTGTGTGAGTTCTGCCTTTTCTTAAATATCCCTGACAGTTGTAGCTAGATGTGTGTGGTGTTTTTACTTTCCTTCTGAATGTGAAGCTGTGGTTCCCTTCTGACTCATGGAGAGACTCCTAGGTGTCTCAGTTATGGGACTTGGAGGCACAAGCCAAAATGCCATTTTTCCACACAGTCGGCAAAATGTCTGGAATCAGACAACACTGACTTCAGGTCCTGGGTCTCCCACATACCTAAGCTTTTAGTCTTTAGAAAAGTTCCTTAACCTCCCTAAGATTCAGCAAACATTCCTAGAATGGCCATAATGATAGTACTTGGTCCCAGCATTAGTGCAAGAAGCAAGTGGGATCATCCACCCAAGTACTCAGCATGGCGCTTGGCAGGTAGCAAATATTCACTGCATGTTGGATCTCATTTTGTCATTGCTATTATTTTTATTCTAGCTCATAAAACTCTGAACTCTGAACATTAGGGAAGTAGAGAAAACCCTGTTCTTTGAAAGTTGAAGGGGAGGGGGGACCAGGAGTACCAGGCTCTTTCCCTTTCTCCAGACTTGTTTATTACCGCGGTAGGTTACCATGGAAACTTCCGGGATTAGGACGGTATTATTGGGTTAAGCATTCAATAAACACCTCAGGAGAGAAAAGCTATGACATGTATGCATACCGTAAGTAGTTTTCAAATGAGAGGGTTATTTGGGGGCAAGGAGGGGGTGGCAGTCACTGACTTTCTCATCTCGTGGAGTTTCCTGAGAGAATTATGATCGGGAGTTGAAACTGCGATCATCACCCTGCTCTGGCCCCTTGGAGGCCCATTCCCTAAAGTTGTCAGGAGTTACAGCCTGAATTTCGAACTGGGAGGCTGGTCTTTACATCCCAGGGAGTGTGGCTTCCAAAATAGATTCCGAAGTGGAGAAGAACTGGGAGTGTTTTTTGAGAAGGGTTGACCTCCTTTCATGCCACTTACTGTGAATTAAAGCTGCGAGGGGAAGCTCGTTTGGGCTTGTGGTACAGCACTTAGAGCCGCCGCTGCCAGGGAACAAGATTTGTGTTTCTAAGGAGATACAACAAAAAGGAGAACGCTCCGAGAGCCAGCGGCTGTCAGAGTGTAAAAGTATCTATGTTCAGAAAGGGAAGTAGAAGTTGAATTAAGTAATTTTATACCCAAGTTACAGGGTGCTCTTCTGCTAACAGTTCTTAAATGCAAAAGCGAATAGTTGTGGCCACAAAGGGCTTAATACATCTCAGCTGATTTTAGTTCTCAGACTCGAACTGGATGTGACTGGTATTGACCTGCTCTGTGCATGTGATTTTCAGGTGGTCTGACTCTGGTCTGTCATTTTGTTGAGTTGTATTAGTCCCCGGGACAAAGGGTGACATATCCCAGCAGAGGTTAGGGCAGACACTTGACAACAAGAGGAGGAAAACTGGTTCTACTAACAGGAGCAGCAGAACAGAGTCCTCGACCCATGTCTTGAATGCCGGTTTCAGCCAGTTTGCAAATGTTTAATCAGTTATCAGCATGGAAGGATGCCCTGCATGAGTTCCTTGGATAAAGTATCATCACACGACAGAAATCACAGGGAGCGTGCACCAAGGAAAAATTACAGTACAGCTATATTTACTTAGTGCTGCTGCAGTGGGGTTTTATTTTCCACAGTTGGAAGGGGAACCACCTGTCTCACCCGCTGATGTCAGAGAGCTCCCTCGAGACACAGGGCTGTTGGAAAGCACATGATACTGTATATATTTGCTCTTATGTCCATATCTGGCTAAGATTGGGTTTCAGATTTGTGCCCTATTGTGGAGTTCATTGAGCAGTGACTCCCAGGTGCCCTCCCACGTCATCATGACCTTGTGAATTAAAAAGTAGCCCGTGTGAGCCCCTGTCCTGAGTGTTCCCTCAATCTGCTGTGCACCTATTTACACTGCAGTGAAATGAATGGCACGCGTCTTGGGGGTTATCATTTATGGATTCAGTTTTGCAAGTGAGTATGAAGAGGCATGTTCTGTGCACCCAGTATCCTGCTGGTGTTTTGGCTTTTAGTTTTCTTTCTAATTATCAAGATTTAAGGGAAAAAACTTTATCTACCGGATTTAGAGGTTTTATTTGCAGATTGTTAAAAGAGGCAAAAAAGGAATAGGATGTGCCTCTCCTTTTATTTTTATTTATTTATTAAACTTTATTTTTTGCTTGGTAGCATGTCAGTGTGGGAAAGTTGTTATAGAATGGATGAATGCCTAATGCCTAATTTGGAAAGGCTGAATAGGATGACCTTGCAACTTCAAGGGACATATTGCATGAGTATTATTATTTTTTAAGATGTTCAAAGAATTGTATAAACACTGTCTTTTGTACCTAGGAGAGAATTAGGCCTTTTAAAGGTAGTTCCTTAATGCAATCTGAGGGCTGCTGCATTGCACAACGCCAGGGGGCACCGCTTTGGTCGTACTGAAGGATTCACTTGTACTGTCTTGCTGACTATAGGCCCAATCCCAGGAAATATGGTGCTATTAGCATTGCTCAAACATTACATAAAAATAGAATTGTTACCGACAATTGCAGAAGGCATGCTATTAGTGAAGTTGTTCATTACTTTAATAGTGCCATGTATCTGAATTTGAATATCTTTACCAACTTGCAAATTATATGGTTGTTACACAAAATAGGTAGGAAACAGAGTTTCTGAGAGTGCAAATTACATTCTTGGGCCACATCAAATCAATGTCCTATTAGAGATCAGAACCAGGGTTCTTAATTCCCAGACTTCCCATGCTGCACACCTCCCATTAAACTAATATTTTAAAGCATGCTTGGTATCTTTCTCTCAAATCCTAAAAATAGAGTAAACAGGATGGGTTAAGACCCCCTGGTTCATCTAATCTTTCCCCTCGTGTAAGATTTTCCTCTGAACCATTAAAAGCATTATAATATATGATTGATATTAATTAGTTTTCTGGAAAGTATTGCACTCCTTAACATGAACTGAACTAGAAATAAATATATTACCATGAATTAAGAATTTTATTAGTTGTGAAAAATTGGGTGAAGGCACCTATGTGAAATCCTAAGAGCAGGCATCAAATTGAATTAATGCCAGCACTGCCTTGAGATTAATCTGAGTACTGAATAAAAAATAGTATACCATAACATAACTGTGTTTACTGAATCATTTTTGGCATCAGAAACTAAAGCTACATTATAGATGCAACAACAGACTTTTCTCCCTTGGAAGAGAGAGGCGGGTGCGTTTTGTAATTAAAGTGAATGTTACCCTCTGAAAAATGCTTCTGGTCTCCAGGAGGAAAACAGCCTTCTTGAGAACATTGCTTCCCTCGGACTTTGCATACTTTGTGCGGCCCTGGCCTTCTCCCACAGCCTAGTAGAGTTTTATATGATCAACGCTATTTTCTACCCTCCCAATCTGGAGTCCTGGTTTGGGGGACTCACCTTCTAAGTTTCCATCTCATTATTATGTATATGTTTTGAAAAGTTGTGGAAAGGTGTTGAAAAGATGTATGGGATTGCCTCAGGGATGTTGTGTAAGGGATTCCTGATTCTACACGGAGGATGGTTTTACAGCATTTAATACAGGGCTGTGCGGGAAGAGGGTTAAAAATCCAAGGACCACTCTTGACTGGCTGGGATGGGAGTGGTGCTCCCCAGAGCTGTGTGTTGCGGGGGCCCTGCTCTAATACCCCCTTTTATTCTGAAATTTCCTCATCTTGTCATTCATTCATTTTATTGGCATCTATGATAGCACTTACTTGAGTGCAAAACTTCAGGCCACCATTGTCAAACAGGAAGATTATACACATTGTATATGTAATTTTGAATTTTCTAGTCACTGCATTTGGACAAGGTAAATTTAATTTTAATAAAATCTTTTTTTCTAATATGTCCAAAATATTATATCCATATGTCATCACTGTAAATTATTGATGAGGTATCTTCCATTCAGTTGTTTATGCTTAAGACTTTGAGATCCTCTGTATATTTTGCATGGACAGCACATCACAATTTTGACCGGACACATTTCAGATGCTCATACGTGAATAGTGGCTGCTGCGTTGGACGCCACGGTTGTCAACTTATATGCCAACTTGGCAGGACATCCTTACACAGAAAAATTACTTGAAAGAAAAAAAACCCTTAAATATCTTAGACAAAATATCACATATCCTTTATATCATGCTATCAATTTAAAAAGTGATTGTCTGATTGATCACAAATTCGAGAAGAGCGTAAATGCTGGGACGATTTAGTTGATGGGCCATTGGTGGCAAAATTGACTTGATATTGGATTGTTTTGCTCCTGTGGCTTTCTTTTCCATTCTTGCCTCATAGATCTCATCATTTTAAAACCCTATCTGCTACTTTGCAAATCTTCTCGAATTTGCGAACTCATGGGATCTTGTCAGTTTTCAGGCACCATATGGATGTCTTGTCTCTTAACAGAGAGACTCTTGAAAGACTTTTGGCTCAAATCACTTCTGTGGCCAGCATCATGGAAACAAAAACTGTTTTCTGCACTTGCTGCTTCTGGTCTCTGTAGAGGCAGAGCCAGGTCAGGACTGGTACGAGGCTGGTTTTACTTTCCTTCAGGTACAGACACTTGGCAGACCGACAGCCTTGGTGATGATTCTGCGTGCACGCTCACAGAAAGTCAGCTTAATGTAAGACTTCAAAAGAAAGTCAGTTCTGCTATGTTTCTAGAACTTTTTTAGATGAGGAGGCCAGGTAAAGAGCAAACTTATTCATCTGCTTTAATGGTGCTTGATGTTAAATGCCTTTTAAGTATCCATATGTGAATAACAGGTATCCTTACGGAGTACTTCTTATCTGCCAAGCACCAGGCTCATATATATCTCATTTAACCCTAACACAAATCCTGCAAAAAAAGGTGTTTTTATTGTCGTTTTCAGAGATGAGAATGAAAGGTCAGATAGTTTAGGTAACTCACTCAGGATCACACAGATACCAAGTGGCAGATCTGATCCCAAAGGTTATGTTCTCAGAGAATGAGACCATGTTTTCAAACCAAGTCAAAGACTCCCTTTCACAACAAATTTTAAACCCAGGGCAAGATACTATGTTTTAGAGTTGGAAGTTTCCTTCGCTTCATTCACTGAAGAAATACATTCAAAGATGCCGAATCCTATCGCATCTTTTGATAGAAAGTAGATCTAGAAAGTTGAAATGGCTTTGTCCAAGGTCAACAAACAAATCTACACATCAGGTCCCTTGATTCCTACTCCTCTTCTGATTGTCTAACTGGCTTCTTTCAGATGAATCAAACGTTCCACAATTTTTTTTTTAACTGAAAGGACGCGAAATTTAAAACTTGGTAATGTAGGAACACTCTTTTCTCTTTCTCCTTTGTGCTCTTTAAACTTCCTATTGACGTATACTGTGAATGCTGAGAAGTGCCTGTATCATAAGGGTTTAGCTCCATGAACTTTCACTAACTAAACACACCCATGTAACCAGCACTGACAGCAGGAAATAAACCACAACTAGCTTTCTGGAGCCCCTCCCCCACACCACGCTTCCGGCCTCCAACCACCACCAAAGGCAACCTCTATCCTGCGTTCCAGGCGCATAAATTAGGCATAGCCGTGTCTTTCATTGTTTATGTAAAGACTAGAATAATCAGGTGTGCACTTTTTTGGTGTGTCTGGCTACTTTTGCTTCACATTATGTTTGTGGGATTTATCCAAATTTTGAGCTAATAGAAGTGTATTCATTCCCATTGGCGCCTTTGGCTGTACTTCTGAAGTGTGTAAGAGCCTCAATGACTATAGTATTATGAGTGGAATTAATAAGTTTATTGAACATTAATTTGATTTAAGTTGCTCTTTTTAGAACGTTATTAGCCATAGTTTCCTTTGATTCAGTGTACAGCAAATAACAAAGCTCAAACATGGAGCCTTAGCGGATGCAATGCAAGGTACCTCCCAGCCAACCCCTCTTGTCCTGTGTTTTTACGCAATATTCAACATAGGGTAATATAATAGGGAAGACAAAGAGGGCACAGTCTGAAAATACCCGCGGGAGAGCGCCGGGCTGGAGTTCCCACTCAGTAGCTTTGTATGGCTGTGCAAAAGGTTAGGTGTGGCCTATTTTTAGGTACCCTACATGGAAATGGATGTCCTGAGATGGATGGTAGAAAGTTACAGCGCAGGAGTTGTCAGAGATTTTTGTTTTGAAAAGAGAGAGGAAAAGAATCCTTTCTGATCATCTGCTTGGGGCAAAGTACAATCTGGACTCTTTAGAGAAAAATAAAGTTTTTGGACTGTTGAAAAGGGAGACTCTTGTAAACTGCCTTTTGGAGATTGTTTCACAGGCCCAGAAATCGAGATTTCTTATGTTCGTTTTCTTATTGTTGCTTCTCTCTGGGAGCAGGACAATAGGAAGTTACATTTGTCATGGTAGAGGATACTGCATGAATGGCCAGCGTTGTCTGAGGATGGCTGGAGGTTTACCCAGGCTTTGTCCTGCCCGAGTCTATCATTTACCTGGTCTTACTTTGCTTACTCCATGGTCACCAGGGATCCCTCTTCAAAATTTCTATTAGGGAAGTTAATGTGCCTATGGCTATTAATTCAGCCCTAAAGGAAAATCTCTCCACGTTGACTTGGTTCACAGATTACTTGGTTCTGAAGCACAGATCTACCTCCTTCTAAATCAGGTTGTATGTACAAAGGAAACAGCTAAATAGGAAAACTCACTAACTCCCAATGATACATCAACTATACATCTTGTGATTCAGCGTTGGTTTCATACAGTTGCTGATAATTCCAGGATGAAATATTTTAGGCATCTGACTTTGTCTCTCTCCACACCCTACAGTAATATCTCAGATGATTCTTCTCAAATTAAAAAGAGGTAAGGTCTCCTTTTACCAAGTACAATGAACTTTTTATTTAAGGGAGGTGGGGAGATGCTCTGGTATTAGGGGGCAAAAGAGTTACTTTAAGCTCTTATTTCCCTAGATACTCTAAGCCTTATTTCTTTTTACAGAACCTTAAATTTAGGATCCATCCTCTTTCCTAAATCTTCTCTCTCTGGGTTAACATCGTTTCATACCTGCTGTAAAACCAAATCACATATTAGTATGTTCAGTTGCTTCTATATTGCAGGCATGAGTGAATAGTCACTATCAGATCAGCTTTGTGTTTTTCATCCTTACTATGCAAGCAAGGACTTGATCTTCTACATGACTTGTACTACTTAATAGAATTAACGATAAACAAGATGAAAGTTTGCTATTTCTCTGGGGCAATGAGCTGACCTTTGTAAGAACCCTAGGTCTATAGAAGCCAGTCTTCTTACAGCCAATGTGCATCAAATGATTACATTTCCCAAGTTCTCTTGTGTTCTTTTTCTGAAATCGTTAGGAAGTTAAATATCCATCTTGCAAGGAAAGTGATGAAGCTATGGTCTTTCAGCAAAGCTGAGCACTGAATACCTTTCTTGCATGTCCTCCCTGGCTTCTAGTGGCTTTGTACAATGGAACATTTGGATTCACCCTGTGTAAGGAATTCTCCTCAGGTTGCCTGTCTCTGTCAAGGAAGACACTTCATTTCATTTGAGAGGTGGCAGGGATCTTAGATCTAATTGAATCCAGCCATCTCCATTGACAGATAAGGAAACTGAGGCTTAAAATCATTAAGTGAATTGCCCAAAGTTGAACTGCAGGCCAACCACACAGCTGAGTGAGGACCCATGTCTTTCTTCCCATCCTTCCTCTTCCATTTTGGACTAAATCAAGATCCATAAAGTCACTCTACTTATTGGGAAGACTTGGGCCTCATGCAGTCCCTTTAAAGCTCACAGACTTGGCCTTGCTTCCAGCCCCATGAACCCTCTTCTCACGAAAATTCTTGATGGTCAAAATCATGTTCACTCAAGTGTATGAAGAGTGATTTGCAGGAAAGACTCATGAAACTGCGAGAAATTTTAACTCCAAGAGGCCAATAGCACAGCTTTCATTCCTGTGGAGATAGTCAGCCTTGCTGGGGAGAGGGGGTGGTTCAGGCTCTGATGTGACATTTGGACAACCCAGAATGAGCTTCCTGCCTGAGAACAGGGCTGCAACATAACAGCATTCACCTGGGTGGCTCCACATTTAGAAACAGACTGTATTCCAGAAGTTACCTTGCAAGTCACTGGTTTGTAGCTTGGACTGCATTTTCCTCTTCCAGTCAGTTTCATTGTCTCCAGTCAAAGACGCACCTCCAACAGTCCTTCCCTTCTTCCTTCCAGAACTGCCTTGCGATTCCCCAGTCAGTAAAAATCCCTTCTTGAGAAACTTTCTTAATAGTTTTGTCATACCATTCTGAAAGCATTTACTCGTTTTTAATTTTCTTGGTGTATGCTTCTGAACTCTGTTAGATTCTGGAAGGGTAAGAAAAAAAATATGATGAACAAGTAGATGCTTTTGGTATAAATAAACGAAGCCCCCTTAACCCTGCCAAGGATAGCTGCATCTTTGAATGGAACGTTGGTCTAACTTAATTGGTGAAATTTCCAGTTGAGAAACAAAGTGAAGACAGTAGTGGCATCTGGGGGGGTCCGTGGTTCAGGCCCACCTCTGAGGCAAGCTAGTAGTTGATAGTTTTCCTCTCCCTATAATTCAGGGCTGAGAGGGTTCCTCAGAGTGCCAGGGAGTAACTTCTCCCAGCCTTGTATCCTGAGCGGAGTGGCTGTTAGACTCGACGTGATAGACAGAAATGGCTTCCTTTTAAATATATGATGAATATTGAGACTTATATGGGATGTCAGGGGCCATTTCTATTTGCTACGTTCCTTGCATGTTTAGAAGGCTCAGTCAAAAGCCTGCATCTCTGTATTTCTGTAAAAAGTGAAGAGTTTTTCTTCCTCTGAATACAAAAGTTATACATGTTTATCACAGAAAATTTTAAAAAATTACAGAAAGACACATATACTCACTTATGTACCCAAATTAGAAGGAACACAATGTCATTGGCCACTATTAACACCTGGTTATGCTTTCTCCTTGTTCTCCTTCCTCGTCTTTCCTTCTGAGTGTATATATATGTATTTATATGAAAATTTGTTGCAATTATAGTTTTTTCCAACATCATTTTAAACCTTAATATATTTTGAACATTTTCTCATTATGCCATTAAATGTGTCTTACAACAGGTTTTTAATGATAGCATTGAATATACATACATAATGAATATATGAGGTTTTATATATATAGTGTGCTATAATTTATCTAACTAGGCCATTATAGTTGGGCATTTACAACTGCTTTAAGTTTTTAATAAGGTAAATTATGTAGTATTGACGACTATCCTTATACCAAAAATCTTTGCACACACACCCCTGTTATTTCCTTAAGATGAATTTCTGGAAGTAGAATTTCTGGATCTACAGGGATGCCCAATTTTAACATTTTTGATACATACTGCCTGTTTGTCCTCTAGAAAAATTTGTACTCACTTGTAATCCTACCAGTAGTATTTGACATCTATTTTGGAGCTGCTAAATGTGGAGGTCAATCTTAGAAGTGGTCTTCTTGATTAAAAATATTTCCTCAAAAAGCCTGTGTCTAGTTGGGCTAGCAAATATAAAGTAAGCTTTTATATAAGACATCACAAAACTTAGCTTAGACGTTAAGCTAATTTCTTCCTAAGATGAGAATTTATTTCCTTTCTACATCCCCTCATTTTTAGATATATATTAACTTTGCTAGAGTAAAATTCAAATACCTAAGCACTGGAAAAGTCTGTTACAGAAACAAAAGCAAAATAACCAAAATGCTTCCAAGTCTTATCTGGTGGGATTAAAAAAAAAAAAAAAGAAAGAAAGAAAGAAAGAGAAAAAGAAAAAAACTTCACTTATTTAACTCTTCCATTTTGAGAATTCTTGAACATACAAGTTTGTTCTCTAAAATCAAAAAAAGTTAAGCTTATTAGGACCCCAGTTCTAGAAATAAGTACCAGGGAGAACTATTTAATCAACAGTTTTTTTTAATTTAATAATTTGTGTACCCAGTTTTCTCTGACCCTCACCAACTTCATTAGGTGATAAAATATCTTTCTTCTAAGTGAATTATTATGTTATTGAAGTTCAATAGCAGATTAAATTTGTATATACTACCAAATTTAATAAAATATGATGTGCTTTATTTTCAGTTTCAGTAAAAAAAAATCGCTAAATAATCCTATTGTACATTTCTTGTTTAAATAATCAGTAACTCACTGCATTATAGATGAATTAACCTGAAATAATAAAGGAAATGAAAATGTCTGTAGATAGACAAATACAGCAGAGTTAAGCACCCGACAAAATCAGGTTTTAACCATCCTTGTATTATCTTTTATCTGTGGGCCTAATAAGCATTCTTCTTGTTTTATGTTTAGATGGGTCCAACTGACTGCAATTCGGATTAATTTTCACATTATTTTTTCTGTTTTAATGTAAAAAATGCCAACAGCAGCTTTTGAGGTCCGTGGTAAAATAAAGGCTGACTCAGTTGCATACAGCTGGTCTACAGAAGGTTTTATGGGAGATGAGAGATGTATTGACATCACTGCTTGCTTATTTTAAAAAAGTAAAAATAAAATAAATAAATGAATGTTAGGAGGCACTAAAGCTGTCTACTAATTTTCTTCAGTTTTTTTCCCAAAGGTGCTTTGTGTACAATGACATGACCATGGCTGTTTTGTAAAATAAGACTGCATTTTAGAGTGTTTATAAGCCAGAGGCCTTTGTTATACCCTGCCCTGCTACCAACTTTTGTGTCCTGCACGGTCACAGCTTCAGACATGTCCTGGAGGCTCAAAGCACGTGCTCAGACACTGACATGGGGTATCAGGATCAATTAGCCCCTCTAGGAATTAAAAGCAAGCAATTGAATGCCTGTTAGCAATGATTAACTTTAAAAATATTAGCCATTCTGCGCAGATCCTTTTCCTTTCTAGGCAGGCAGCATTCCCAGGAATGCTGGTTTCCAGTTTAGTAGACAAGTCTCTTGGTTATAAAGTTGCCTGGGGGTACTTTGCTGTGCTTTTGATTTGGAAATGAATATTATTCTTATGTATGAAACTTCAGTTCTCCCTAGAAGGGTTTGCAGACATCTCTTCCCTGTATGCTCTTTTCAGCTGCTATCTAAATCCTTGCTCTGCCTTATTTTTCTCTGTTATAAAGTAGGGACACAGGTAATCTTTACTGGGTAGTTTTTAGGACTAAATTATTTAAATGTAGTATATAAAATGCTAATCTCAGTGTCTGGCCCGTGTAAGTCTGCTGTCTGTCTTCTTCTCCATTTTTCTCTCTTGAAAAGTTTCAGCCTTAAATATATTTTCAGGTAGCTTATTGAAAGCGTATGAAAACAAATGAGCAAAGATATTTATACTAGTCGCTCTTTACTTCTGAGTTCTCACCTATATACAAGAATAAGGCTAAAACCAATTCTCTCTGCTGTTGTCTACTTGGGTATTTGGGTTCGATTGTGCTTACTTTTCAGAAGTGGCCATTGTCTGAAATATGGATAGTGGGAAGAGCCTGTGATCTGGGGCAGGAGTAGGGAAGGAAACCCAGAAGTTAGGTACTTTGTCAATTTTTTTTAATAGAATTGAATTATTCTCTTGAAGGTTTATTATCTCCCCTGTTACCAGCTTTAAGGATAGATTCTCTTGTCTCCACCAATGCTGGAGTCTTGGGAAATGTTAACAGAACTACTGAGGGGAGAAATTCCACTGGGGTGGAATCTAGGCCCTGTGTAGATATGGAACATTATGGACACTCCACAGATGTTAATAAATACCTTCTTCTATTGTTAGGACAAAATGGGGTTGACTTGGGTGTGAATTTAATGGTTAGTGAAAGGACCTTTTACCTAGAAAGGGTGTGTTTTAAAGAGCACAGGAATCTGGATATTGAGCAAATTAGCCTTGTTTATTTCATATCAGATTGTTCTCCGTTTTTAAGGTCTGTCATCTCCCCAAATTATAAGCTTCCTTGTGTCCATGACATATGCCTCCTTGGCAGTCCTTGCAATATGTTACTGGGGACACAGTAAGGTTTCAATAGATCCTTGTCAATTGCAACTAAACATTTGGAGCTCCTGGAAGCAGAGTTGATGAAGGGGTGAAAAGAGGGCTGCAGGGAGGAAGGAAGAGAAACAGTCAAGGCAGAGCAGGTATTAAGTGTGGAAACCTCCTGGGAAGCCAGAGAAGACCGAGGTTGGTGAGCAACGAACAATTTAAGTTCTCCTGAGAGAAGAAAACTGGACAGAAGAGAAATTTTAATCTGAAGAGCTAATTAACCAAGTTATAAGACCTTCAAAATATCCCTCTCATTAGAGTTGTAATTTTGATATTAAAAAAAAATAGTGGAATCTACTCTAATTTGTCCCAATAATTATTTATATTTTTATTTGAACAGTAATAGAAACCTGAGGGGAAGTTTGCAGTATGCTATAGTTTATAAATCATTTCAATGTTTTGACTCCTAACTAACCCTCTTTGTAATGCTAAGGAAAAAAAGCAAGCATATATATATATAAGAAAAACACCTCTGGTTTCAATGGATGTACTGATTTGATCAAGAAAAAGTGAAATGAGGTGGTAAAAAGACAAACAGGAAAACCCCAACAACATAAGATGAGTGGGTTAAGATATCAAAAACAATAATGCAAAATGTTCCAGTGTAAAGAACATCTCTAAAAGATGTGAATAGGATGTGTGTGTGTGTGTGTGTATGTATATATATAATGGATACCTAGCATTCAATGAACACAAAGTATCAGAGAATAACACGACCCAGGGATCACCTGATAATAATTAATAAACATCAACTCTTCTTGGTCAAGTGACCAATATTATTTCACAGTTGACTGTGTGGAGGGTAGAGCCAATGACCTTTGCCCTGAATTTAATAATTTACTGTAGTTTTACATTAAATCAGAATATAATTGGGAAGAAAATTAGTGTTTCTTTGTGGGGAGTGCAGAGTAATGCCACTAATTGCATGTATAAAAGCCTTCCCGAGGTTGTATTTTCCTGTTCTTTCTTGATTTAGAAAATTAAAACTACAGTAATTTTCCGCTATTTGTAAGAGGGAAAATGTGCCAGTGAAATGTATTCAGCTAACTTAAAATGTCAAAGCTTTTGGCCACCTTTTTATGTCCAGTAATGACAAACTGTCAATTTCATCACATTATTCAGGAATATACTAGCAACTTGTTGCAGATATCAGAGTAGACAAATCTAAGATATATGTGGTCTGAAAGAGGAAACAGTGTGGTGTTTTTTGGTTTTTCTGTTTGTTTTTCTTTCTTTCACTTTAATATTTGAGCAACTTTATAGTTAGAGCAAATCACTATTTTTTTTCCTTTTAAAGAGATGGACAATAGAGAATTCATTAAATTAACCTTAGTGGAAGAGGAGATTAAATTAATATTGCTTTAGAATTATTTTTTGATACCTGGGGAATTCTTTTTCAGATAATTTATAATCAGGTAAAAGAATCAAGCTGATATCCAAAGTGTAGTGGGTAAAAATTTTATAAAAACATGTATATTCACAAATATACGTACATGTGTACATCACTCTGGATCTTGGAAGGGTTAAATCAGACCACAGTGGTGTAATGGGAAGTGTCTTTCGGTGTTGTCTAGTACCTTGAGTTTGTTATGTATTCAATACGTAGTGTCATCATAAAACAGTTGCGCCTGCATTAGCCCTCATTGTCTCAGGCTACAAGCTGAAAAATTTTAAAAATGAAAAAGCTCAAGAAATGAATATTTCTGCTAATGGCATGTCGGTATTTTTCCCTTACTCCACGGACATTCTTGGTCTCAAACGCAAACTGTACAACCCAGGGCACTAGGGTTGGAATCCAGTGTTTATTCAAAAAGGCACCCTAAGGCAGTTAGAGGAAATGCTACATGTATGGGGGGGAAAAAAAAGGCAGCCGGGAAACTACGCTGATCTAGGCAGAGCAGCACTGACTGTACTTACTAACTCTTGTTTTCTGAGAGCCTATGAGAGAAATGGAAATAATCAGAAGGAACCTTAAAGGATGGAATTTTGTTCCTTGTTCTCCTTATATGGAGCACAGCAAACTGCAGTAAGACTTCGGGAGCTGGTTTTCCCTACTGCCACGGGCACAGCCGATTTCTGGGTGGAGGAGTTTGTTTAGACCTTAACAAATATGGGCTGTTTTGTTGATTAAATAAGCAAAGCAAAAAGAAAAGAAAGAAAAAAGTATGCCCCTTCTCTGCTTTCAAACACTTCCCCCAATTAGAAAATATCTCATAAAAATGCATCATGTGATAAGATCTTGCTTTAGTCCCAAACCGAGTCCATTTGGATGTCTTAGAATTTGAGTCCTTAGGGAGTACACATTTTAGCTGAGACTGGAGTTACTCTGTCATGAAACAGGGAGCTTTGCCACTTGCTTGTTTTGGAAGGAAAATAAATTAAAAAAAGATTGCAGGGGATTTTAGTTATTATATGGCCAGGGCTCCGTTTAGAGTCAGTGGCATTCAAAGCTGGCTTTAGTCACAGCATGATGCTCGAAGCCTCCAAAAGTCCAAGTGTTTCCTTTCTTTCTTTCCTCTTTCTGTTTTTTTTCTTTTTTTTTTTAAGCGTTACTTCACTGAGGCAGAGGGCTGCCTTTGAGTGACGTCACGAGTTTCAGCAGCAGGCAGCACAGGAGAAGGGAGGCTGGGTGAGTGACAGCCCAGCCTACTTTTTAATAGCTTTGTCATGTGACTGGGGACTGTAGTAAGACAGGTGCCTTCAGTTCACTCTCAGTAAGGGGCTGGTTGCCTGCATGAGTGTGTGCTCTGTGTCACTGTGGATTGGAGTTGAAACAGCTTGACTGGCGTCATTCAGGAGCTGGATGGCGTGGGACATGTGCAACCAGGACTCTGTATGGAGTGACATCGAGGTGAGCCGGGGCTGGGCTCGGCACTGCAGCCAGGACCGAAGCTTCCCTCGCGATGCAATTATTCCTGTAAGGGGGGAAGGGCTTGGGCTTGGGCGAGGAGAGGAGGCAGAAAAGTAGCCCGGGCAGCAGCTTTTGGAAGGGAATCTCTATCTTATCTCAACTCCAATAAGTTTGCTATTTTAAGGTGGCTCTGAGATACCTTGAGCAAATCAAAGCTTAGCTGCTGTCATCAGTATCTGTTGCAGTTAGAAACTCTTTCCATGTGCCTTTGGCTCTGTTTCTACTCATATGCAATATTTATGCTCCAAGATATTGATATGAATCAGAGGCTAAAGTCTTTCCAGTGGTGTTTAGTGGCCTGGTTGGAAAAATGCCATTTCTATTTATAATAAGATAAAGATAAGAATATTAAAATGGATGTGCTCAGATATAGTCAGTTTTGACTCTAGTCTGGATTTTTTTTTCCTACTCTCTCCGTTCATCAGACAGAGAACTCACAAAATCCTAAATAATCCTGCTGGGCTATTTTAGATTGCTTTTCCCACAGAACAAAAAACAACAAAGCTGATTCCTTTAAAACTCCTGTATGTGGTTGAAAGCTTTGGCCGGCAGATAAAAAAAAATATATATATATATATATATATGCCTTACAGTGCGAGGTTTTCCATTCGCCTCGGTGGCAGGGAAGCCAATGGTTAAATCTCTCTGTACCACGGAGAGCTGCCTGAAGCCGGAGAGAGAATAGAGTTTATGCAGGACGGTGTGTGGAGCTGCTCGCTGCTTGTGCAAAAATAGACGGCAATACATCAATTCCAGCCTCTGCTGGCTACAGTTCATACAGGAGGAAAAAAAGCGAGCCGGTTTCCTCGTAATCTCTGGAGTCTAGAGTGACTAGCGGTGGGGGGGGGACGGAGGACCGCGGCGTGTTTGCATTCAACACAATGGAATGTTCTCAGAAAGTTTGGCCAACTTGGGAAACAAGCGAAACTTTCTGTGGACTCTGGTGAGATGGACCCGAATTGAGTTGCAGGGAGGATCTGGGCGGCTAACAATGAATCTGGCACAGGGCTGGGAGTGCGTCCTCTGGGAAGCTGGGGGCACGTAGGGTAAGGGGAGGATCAAGGGCTACACGTGATTTGATTAAATAAGATGTCCATGTGGTGCGGCGATACACATCTAAAGTGAAAATGATTTGGCCGAGGCCGTCGGCGAGTGCATTTTTCCTATCTAGCGAGGCATGCCCTGGATTCTTAACTCTTCGCTGGGTCTGCAAATGCTGGCTCCGTTTACCCTCTCTCGCCTTGGCAGATGCCTCTTTGCGGATTGTAATTGTTCTTATCTTCTTGTGATTTCTCGGTAAGGGGGACTAGATATGGATAATTCATATGGCCTGCAGCTATTATGAGTCAGGGTTCCAAGTGGCTTCAAAGTCCTCATTGTCTTCGAGGAGCTGGAGTGTCCTGTGGGTCGCTTGCCTGGCTGGGGCTGTGGGGCTCAGCTGCTGTAGTTTCATTTTTCCATCATGTATTATTCCTGATGCCGCTAGGAGTTGATTGAGGAACTAGATCCTATGGAAATATGGCAGATTTATTTTAATCATCGGAGTTCCTGCAGTCATTTTCAAATATGCATCAGAAGCGTTGAGAACAGTGACTCTTTAATTTTGCTCTTCAGGAGGTGAGGTCTCGGGCTAATTGTCCAGCCGTGGATTGAGTTGTCCGGCCGGCTGAGACCGGCCAGTCGCTTCTCTGTTGCACCGGAGGCAGCAAACTGCTAGCAGTCCTGCCTTCCCGGCGGCAGCCCTGGGAATCACCTCCGCCAGGCTAAAATATTATGAGCAGCAGGTAGCGCAGGCTGCTTTCATTTTTTGAATCATTAATGTTTGCTGTCATCCTAAAACGTATTCTGCCCTTTTGCACATAATGACAGGACAGCACATTGGTTAATAAAGGCCTGTATCCCTATGGCTACTCAGAGTCCACAGTGCTTCAGTTTAATGAAGGTGGTGTCCAGTAAAGTTACTAAGATTGATAGGCAGTTCACATGACACAAACTCCACTAAGACTGTCACTCTTTACTGACCCCCGCCCTACCCCCTAACCCTGTCTTGACTAATTTTTTTTTAAGAAGTAAGATTCTTTTCTTCATTGATGTAATGAATGTGGCCAAGTCCACTCTTTCTTCTCTCTCTCTTTAAAATTTACCATCAATGGCACAAAAACCTCCAAAAGGTTAATGGAGAATTATACTTAATTATAATGATTCATTATCATCCGTGCAGTGAAGCTAATTTATTGTCGGCTCCTTAACTAAGAGAAAAATCTGTTGGGGTGAAATAACGTACAATAATTAGCCTTTTGTGTTTAGTGACTGCTTTATCCTCTTAAATCTTATTATAAAATTAAGGCTGTGGTGGCGAAAGAGCTGTCATAGTTGCAAAGAAGCAGTAGAATGTGTCTCTGTAATTGCAATAAAGCACACCTGTTACAGATGTATAGGGAAACAGTAAATATCAAGATGTCAGCTGAGGACAGTTACAGGGCTTGGACGGTTAAGTCTGGCATCATCCAAAGGCCAAATATAAATTAATAACAGGAACATTTGCTACCACTAATGTGTTTTAGATTATCAGGATAATGCCACATTCAGAAGCCCTGATTTTATTAGCACGTCAACATTGGCAGGAGCAAAGGCACATTTTTCAACTATAACATAAAAGCAAAAATGAGAGAGACAGAGTGAGAGCAAAGGAAAGGAAAGAAATCTGTGAATTACAGCAGAGTGGAATACACGAAATGGATCTGATCTTTTCAGTGGTTTTCAAAAGTTACTGAAAAATACATCTTTCTGAAAGGTTGAAGGGTTCTGAAGAAGCCATGCCCGAGAGGGTTGTTACAGAGACAGAAGCCGCTCACCAATCGGTAGGGCGCTCTCAGCATTCCAGGACACGGGCTCTAAACTAGGTTCTCCACCCGAGGAGTTTAAGCCAGACATAGAGATCCTACGTCTTCTAACTTATTTTTAATTTTTGTTGCTGTTCCTGTTGCTTGTGCTTTGTATTTTAAGGACTGTCCCCCCAGTCCTAGTGGTTTTTGCACCACTGAAAAAGTTAGCGCCTGGTCTCTGAGTCACCTCGTCTTTTGCAGTGGAGGAGTTAACGCTGTGCGTTTGTGATTGGAGGACAAGCAGTGGGCAAGTGCGGAGGCTGGGAAGTGTTACACCCACAACAAAACACGAACATTGGACCAGACGAGGTCCCTTCAGCCCAGCCTCCACTTCCTTAGAAACCTTGTCGAGTATACCCTTCTGTAACTTTAGGCTAACTCCGATAATTAAAAAGGAAAGTCCAATACAATGATAAGGAAGGAGATGGCCCTGTCTCTGCAGTACCTCTGTGCCTGCAACCTGGGATCCCAATGGGGCCCCGTGGTCTTAGGGAGGAACTGCAGGAATTTTCAGGCTCTTCCCAGCCTCCCCTTACCAACTGCTGACTCCATTACCCAGTACCTACTTCTCAGCGTGGCGCTGATGATCACACTGCTGCATATGACCCGTGTAATGTAGCCTGCCAGGGATGACAGGGGTGCCTGAAAAAAAAAATCCGCATAAAACTTATTTTATTCAAAATCTAAATGTCAAGCAGCATCTTCAGCTTCAGGCCCCACTGCTGCCTGGATGTGAACAAGCAGCAATCCCGACCTTGGAAGGGAGGGCCAAGAGGGCATCACCTCAGAGTGTGCACCTGCCGATTTAGACCCCTCAGCTCGCAGGTGGACGAAGTCCCTGGGGCTCTGGCATCATCAGACCCCTGCAATCGGAGGTTTCCGCAGGGTTCTTCACAGTTTGCAGTGATGAATCAGCAGTCAGATAGCTGGTCTGAGGTTAGAAATCCACCTCATTGGGAAGGGGGTCCACTTTCCTTAAAAAAGCCACAGTGTGGAACAGTTAAAAGACCACCTACTCTCGGCAAGAAGGTGACAAGCAGTCCAGTCACCATCAAGGATATTTTTAGCCTCTCAAATATATTGAAATCATTTTTAAAACTCCAAAGGGGAAAAAAGATAGTTTTTGTGAACTCACTTAGAGCACAGTTGAGGCATATATAAATGATGAACAAAAACATAGTTGTGGTGTGCCCTACTGGTTTTTCTTTTCAGACGTCAGATGATGCCAATCATTTACATACATACACACACCCACATACCAACACACAAGACTTGCAAGTTACACATAGTGAAAAATACAAAGGGCATAAAAAAAAGATTTTTGTTCTTCCTCTCAAGGGTCTTGCTTTTGACCTGTTTGAAATGAAGTTCAGAGGCTCATGAAAAAAAGATTTAAATAACAATTCAACAGAACCATAGACAAGTTAAAGGACTTTGCATCATTAGTTGCTAAGTGAATTACACAGATTATAATGGTTAAAGGGAGAATGAGTGGAGAAAGTTTTCCTAGTATAGTTCTTATATCCTATTTCTCATTTAGTAATCATTTATTTTGTCTTTATTATGTGTGATGACAATTCCAAGGTGAAATCAAATTTGTGTCCGTCTCTCAAAGGAGTTATACTCTGAGGATAGAGTGAAATTTTGCATTTGTTAATCAAAAAACAATTTGAAACTTGGTAAAGTGTTAACTATCAAAGAGGTGCAAGCAAATCTAGTTGATTTCTAACCGGGTGAATCCGAGAAGGCTTCATGGAAGCATAACATTGACTAGGGATTTAGAGGTAGAATTTTGGATGGAATGGTTCGGGCAAAGTACCCTTTGGGAGCAAAGTGAGTTAAAGAATTTAGGGTGTTTTTTCTGGTGACTAAAACCCTGGAAACCAGCTTTGGTGGTGTCGTTGAATTAACCAGGCTTAATTCCTATCACATGCTATTGCAGTTTAATAAATTCCTGCAGTTAATGAAAGCCTTTTCCCCCCCTCCTGCCTCCTGCAGTGTGCTGCTCTGGTTGGTGAAGACCAGCCTCTTTGCCCAGATCTTCCTGAACTTGACCTTTCTGAACTAGACGTGAACGACTTGGATACAGACAGCTTTCTGGGTGGACTCAAGTGGTGCAGTGACCAATCAGAAATCATATCCAATCAGTACAACAATGAGCCTTCAAACATATTTGAGGTAAGGACAACCCTTGGTGAAAATTCACTTCTCGTTGAACTTGACTTGGGCCACACTAACATCCTTGGCCTGGAAGCATAACGAGTTCTTACTTTGCTGTCACCAAAACACTTTTTCCCAGACTTAGGCACTTCCTATTTCGTGGAAAAATAACATTTGGAAAACAAATGGACCTTTTATTTATTTATTTTTGAGAACCAAGGCCCTAAGGACCCACAATAGAGTGCACCAAACTCTGTTGAAAGACTAAGGGACTATGGAAGAATGAGTGACAAAGAAGAACACGTGTCTAAACCTCTTTATTCCTGTCTGTTTCCCACAGAAAATGACACCTCATGTAAATTCATATAAAATATAAAAGAATGCATGTCTGTTTAACCAAGGTCTATCTTGTGAAGTAGGTGAGCAACTCGTATTATTACGGTTGTATTTTTGATTATAACTCTGATTTCTCTATGCCATGGAACCTTCGAAACCCAGCTACTCTAATAGTTACTTACAAGTGAGTCAAAATTAATTTACCTTTCAGTAGTGAGAATTCCCTCCCAGACTCTAGACTCTTCATCATAAGCCTACCCTATAAGAAAGAATGTTAATCTGCACCTGCTAAAGGGTTACTTTGAGAAAAGAAGTTCTTTCTCACAAGATCAGTTCTCATTTACTTGAAGATAAATAGTTTCCTATGGGACAGACATTAAGAGGGTCCTCTGGCAAGTGAACTGAATAACGATTGTCCAATCAACTTGTTTTCAATACGACAACCACCAGCCCCTCCATCACCGTCTAACATTTTCTACCTACCATGTGCCAGGGTCCATACAAAGCACTTTAAATGTGTTTTTTATCCACCAGCAGAGACATTTCTTATACTTCAGTGTTATTTGGTTGAAATCTTGAGTCATTAAGAAAGCCAATTTTACAATATTTATTGAGTTTTTCCAGCACCCGGCACATAAAAGGCACTGAATAAATGTTTATTGAGTCATTAAGAAAACCAATTTTACAGTATTTACTGAGTTTTTCCAGCACACAGAAGGTGTGGAGTAAGTGCTTCTTGAATAATGAGTGAACGATGGATATAGTGTGTTCGTAACAGTAATAATAATAAGAGAATGGCCAACATTTTGGGACACTCTTGGCTTTACGGATGCCACTGCACTCATCCCTCAAAGCAACCTGTAGTTTAAGTACTATTCTTATTATTCCCATTTTACATATGCAGACAATGAGTCTCAGAGAGGCTAAGTGATTTTCCCAAAATCACACAGTTGATAAAGATGAGGGCTTTGAACCCCAAAGTTATCTGACTTCACAGTCTATTATCATTGATAAAAATAGAATAACGCTGAATTTGGGTGACAGCCATCCTTTACAAAGACATATCAAGCTGCTTCTTTGCTCAATATATTTAAAAATAGAACAGAATCTTTTCTTTCAGTGTTGCTTGACATGGGAGCAGGTATATAGCTGGTGAACCGAGGTGGCTCTGGGCTCCGTCGACGGCCAGGATTTATAATACGTCTGGAGCATTAAGCGGGTCTTAGAAGAGTGCTTAAGGTAATGGAGTTAAGGCTGGGGAGGAGGAATCAGGTGCAGGAAGCACTGAGGGTTTGTGGTTAGTTATACTTTCCCAGGCTTCTCAGCCGGGTCCTGGAAAGTTCATGCGAGGACTTGGCTGGTTCGAACTGGTAAATTGAACATTCCTCATTCAGTACACTTGTCAGGTTACAGGCCCACTTTAAGTCATGCTGCATTAAATAAACAGTACTTGAAAAAAATGTCCATCTCTATAGACCTCTTATCTAAAAATCTCAAAATCGGCTATTTCGTATTGGGTGAGTGCCATGTATTTTGTAGAAGATGGTTAAGGAATAACTAAAAGGTGGGGGCAGGGGTGGCATGGCAGTCAGTGCCTCCCTGGCGGGCTGGGTGCAAAAAATACAACTTTTTCCGTGTCCTTATGTCCCCATATTTCGTGTTCTGGCACCTGCCTGAGGTACTTCTCATTTACACCTTCGGGAGACTTAGTCCAGCAACTAGTTAGGTATCTCTAGGTGCCTAGGCTACAGAAAGACACCCCCTTTTGTTTTCTACTGTAACTTTCTACCCCTGACAGAATTGTTTGCAACACTCTAAAACACAAGGTTTATGTCATTCAATCTCTCACTAGGTCTTTAAACCAGAGGTTCTCAACCGAAGGCAGTTTTGCCTGCCCGGGGACGCTCAGCGCTGTCTGGAGGTATATTTAATTGTTAGGACTCGGGGCTGGGAGATGCTCCTGGCATTTAGTGGGTGGAGACCAGAGATGCTGCTAAAAATCCTACATTGCACAGGACAGCTCCCCACAACAACAGATTATTTGGCCCCAAATGATAACAGGGCTGAAGTGAAGAAACCTTGTTTTTTTAAAAAAAAAAAGTCACTGAAATTCCTTTTTAGAAAACACTAAAGATGCATTGGTCAGATTCCCGAGAGAGAGCATAGAGTTAGGATACAGGATATGAAGAATTAGAAGCTGTGGTGTAAAATTATCGAGATGGCCAGGGTCTCGGGACTGATACGTCCGGAATTCTCTCAGGGGCGGAGAGCAAAAGTGACTGTGTAGATAAATCCCCATGACAGTTTTCTCTGATGTCACCAAACCTATTCCTCTTTGTCTATGCAAAGGGTGAGGCCGTATGTGGCAATTCTCGTCGTACACACGGCAGCAGAGAGCTTTCTCAGCATTTGCATACAGCAGGGCTGCCGCTGCCCTGTGGCCTCCAGCGTTAAACTCAGACATCTTTTCTCTAACAGGGAAAAAAAAGTGTGTTTTGAGCATAGGTGGAATTCTAAAATTGTGTCTTCCCCTCTTCCCCTGTGAAAGCTCCGTATGCACCAGAATAACCCTTGAATGGCGACAGCTTTTTGCTCCTACCAAAGCTGCCTTTCCCGGAAGGCTTTTTTTTTTTTTTTCTTTTCCCAGTGCCTGTGACTTTAAACCTCTCACAGCGGACTTTCACCTGTGTTCCCTCACTTTCTTCCAGTTCTCAAAGCCCTGCCTCATCACATTTGCGAAGGCCTTGTACTTGAGCAAGCCCAACAGTCACGGTCTCTGCCACCTCTGATCTGCCAATAACAAGCATTATCTCCCTCCGGTTCCCAGAATAAAATAAGGCACCGAGGAGTTAAACCCTTTTCCCTGAGTTAAGGAGCACATTGATGACACCGCTGGAAACTGGCCACAGGATTTCTGAATTCTAATCAAAGCAGGAAGAAAGGGGTATTTAGAGTTACAGATAGGATTGCAGAATGTTGAGATGCTGGGAATAAGTAGAAATTTCTTCCTGTGGCCTCTTCCACACATTGGAATCTAAGTTTAATTTTTATTAAACTTAAGAAGAAGAAAGGATGAGATTGAATGTCACAATTTGGGAACCGGTGTCTCCCTGAGTGGGAGCAGTTGTACATGCCGGTTGTGTAACTGGGCACGCAAACAGCGATCTTTGCTTGCACAACCTGTGTTTGGATGTGTAAATGCAGGTGACCAGGTATGATTCAGAAGCCACTTAGCAAAACAGGACACGAGGCCTATAGGTACAGCTTCCAGTGAATCCGAGCCATGTGTCAGGAAAACAGGATGCTGTCCTTGGACCGGCTGGTAGCAAGATTTATGTTTCAGAATATTGCAACACAACTTCCTTCTCTCTGTTGCTTTGTGCATTGTTTGAAAGAGGAGAATAAAGAGCTACTTTTACAGCACGGCAGCATGTAAAGTTGGGTGGCAGGGGGCTCGGTTAAATAGCACATGGACTCTGCTGGGACCCTGTGGGCCACCTTGTCTCTGCTTTATTTTAACCTCTGCTTTAGTGCCTCCTTGATTCCACTGAATGGGCATCTTTCATTCATTGGTCTGTGACTTCTGCATGCAGCTACTTGGGGTTCTTTAGAACACGGTGAGTGAGAATGTAGTTGTCTCTAGGTCATTATTCATAATACGTTCTGAAGCCTGCCTTTGCTAATGGGGAGAGAAGGGCTCTCAACTGCGGCCAGCTGTCACGTCGGGTAGTTGCTGGAACTCTCAGGAAGGTCTGATACTGCAAACTTTTGCGAAAGAAGAAGGGTGGTTTCCTGTTACCTGTCTGTAAGGTGTCCTGTTCTCGACCACCAAGGGAATGCCGGGCGGGAGCTTTCGAGAGTATTTGATCATTCTGGTGGGAATATAGGTGATTTTACATTTTTCCCTTTGACTTTCAGTTATATTCTATTTTTTTTCCTAAAATGGGCATATAGTATATACTTATGAAAAAGTTAAAAAAACCGAATCTTGGCTATTCAAAAGACTGAGCATTTTGGGATTAGGGAACCAGCTTGTCTTGTTCACTGAAATTTTTCTAGATGTTTCCTTAGAAAACAGGGGAAAATACCTACTCAATACATAATTGCAACCTAACGGGTGAGTTGACCACCACATATTTATTGATGGTGCAAACTGCATTAGGTCATGTGAAGATTACATATAAAGTGCAGAAGACCTATTTCCTAAAGAACTTTTAATCTTGTTTAGGAGAGCAAATGGTGAAATGAAAAACAATTAGCAAATAATGGAAGACTGCGTATACAAATATACATATATATGTATATGTTCATATATTTCAGCAACTGGAGAACAATGGAAGACTGTATATATTCATGTATATGTGCACAGGTATATTTATAAACATAGGGTTATATATAAATATATATATATGCGCTTGGCAAATATTGCAGGACTGTGTGTATGCACATATACATGTAAATGTCGCCAAGGCTGATAAGAGAATAAGAGTGAAGTGCTTTCACAGAGGGAGAATGAAGTGGAGGAGCTTGGCTTACTCAAAGTACAATATATATTAATGGCGATGTAGGAGTAAGGGAAGTATGTTTGGATTTAGGGTGGGTCCAAAATTATAGCAAACCGTGAGAACCAGGTTGGAAGTGTTCAGAGTTCCCACAATAGCAATTAGGGTAGCACTGGGGAT